ATAAAATACTCCTTGTTCGTTTTGTATTTGCAACAATACTCCAGCAAATTTTTGGATGGGCGCATCTATTCGAAGTATGAATGGTATGGATACATGGGGTGATATATTTTTTGTTCCTTTTAAAAATTTGGAACGCCTTCTCCTGTTCTTCTTTCCAACTCCATTTTATCCCTTTCTTTAATAAATTTTATTAGAGATATTTCCTTTTGACTTAAATCAGGAATAAATTTCTGAAATAATTGATCGTGCCAAGAAAACCTCTCAATGTTTTCAAGTTTGTTGGTCTTGGGTATTCGTCTTTGTGCTTGACTCGATCTTCTTCTTCTTCTTCACTGGCTTTACAACTCGGGGTGAGTCTTCGCCGCATCCACTACCGCCCTCCATCCTCTACGATCTTGCGCTTCTATTTCCCATTGTTGTACCCCAATTCTAGATAAATTGGCTTCAACATCATCCTTTCATCTTTTTCTCGGTCGGCCTACTGATCTTCTACCATCTGGTCTTTCAAAAAACACTGTCTTTAACACTCTGTCATCCTGTGATCGTACCATGTGACCTGCCCATCTTCTTCGGTTTACCTGATATGTCTAACTATGTTTTCAGTTCCATGCAGAGTCACCAATTCAGCATTGCGGCGTCTTCTCCAATCCCCTGTGAATTCATCTCTTTAAGGGACAAATATTATTCTGAGAACCTTTCTGTCAAATACTAGAGGCTTATTGATTTCCCGCTGGTTGAGAGTCCATGTTTGACTGCCATATTGGACGAATAATCGACTTGTACAGTTTTAATTTAGATTTTCTTTTTAGCAGCTTCGATCTTAATAATGTTGAGAGGGAGTATAATGCTGTATTTCCCGCAGTTATCCTTGCTTAAACCCCTTTTTATGTGATTGTCAGCTGTGATTATCGCCTCTAGGTATTTAAACTCCTTTACTACTTCGAAGTTGTGATCATTAATACTGATGTTCTGCCTAACTCTTGGTCTTGGATTTTTAGTTACTACCATGTATTTTGTCTTTTCTTTTCTTCCCTTCTTTTTTTAATTTGACTCGATCTTCGGCTAAACTAATTCCTTTCGTATCCAATTTAAAGCCTAAATAAATCACTTCCTTTTTAAAAAAATTGACATTTTTCAATGTTCAATTTTAATCCAGCTGTATCCAAATCTTAGTCCAGTTACTGAGGGTTTTTACCTCCGAATTCTTTATAACTGAATCGATTCATTTGAAATTTTGTGTGTTGGTAAATAATTACTCAAGTAACAAAAGTTATGCGGTGACGATATGCGCTTCCACCCTGGAGGTATTTGCCACCCTTTTCGAGGGTGGAAATTTTTTCACTCAAAATAACCATGCTATTCGATAGGACAAATTTCAAACAAAAAATGTAGTAAACATTTTTTTCGCTAGGTCAATACTTTTTGAGTTATTCGCTGTTAAAAAGTGTCATTTTTCGTTAAAAAAAAACATGTTTTTTAAAGGTTTTTTAAGAATAGCACTGAAACTAAAAGTTTTATCAAAAAAGTGTAACGACTAAACTTAAAGCTCATAAAAAAACAAAAAGATTGCTTTTTGATACAAAAAGAAAAGCTTTTTAATAAATATTTTCAGTTCAATATTAACTGAGTTATGGTTGTTCAGGTTTGCTTTTGTTTTTGTCTTTCAATAAGAGTATTTAACGTTAAATAACGGAAAATTAGTACATTTTTCGACAAAAACTCCTCAATAAAACTAACGTCATGTTCACTAGGATTGAAATAAATTGTTTTCCTTATAGAATTCACTTTATTTTAGCGTTTTTTGTATGATCCAAAAGTTTAGCCACTTTATAATACCCAGTTTTTGAAAAAAGTATGATTACATTTTTTTTGTAAATATTAAAAAAAAATCTTTTTTTTATAATAACTTCAAAACTATAAAAGATACGTAAAAGATGGCACAATACAAAAAATAGGTTTTTTTTCAATAAAAATTTTCATTTTTTAATTTTTTTTTGTAGCTTAAAAAATAACGGAGATATAGTTGGTTGAAGTTTGCTTTATAGCGCATGAACCACTGGTCTCCGACCCTTTAACCCTTCACCCTTTAAACATGAACGACTTTAGAATGTTTTAACATTCCTAAACTTATAGCCCGTTAAATTACCTGTAAAATCGTTTTTTATGCATGTAGCATCAAAATTAACCGAGTTATTGTAAAAAAAACCAATAGTACTTTTTAGAATAAATTTTGGAGCATGGAAAAATTTTATAATTTGGAGCATTTCGATGGAACTAATAGACATTTAATATATACATATGCATCTATGTATCTCTCTCTCTGTCTGTCTCTGTCTCTGTCTCTCTCTCTCGCTCTCTCTCTCTCTCTCTCTCTCTCTCTCATCTCTCTCTCTCTCTCTCTCTCTCTCTCTCTCTCTCTCTCTCTCTCTCTCTCTCTCTCTCTCTCTCTCTCTCTCTCTCTCCCCCTCTCTCTCTCTCCCTCTCTCTCTCTCTCTCTCTCTCTCTCTCTCTCTCTCTCTCTCTCTCTCTCTCTCTCTCTCTCTCTCTCTCTCTCTCTCTCTCTCTATATATATATATATATATATATATATATATATATATATATATTATATAAAACAAGTTTTATGTAAATATTATTTATTTTTAGTTTTTTGGAAAATAAAAAAATTGTAATATATTATAAACTAAATTTTTTCTATTTATGTCTATGTCTAAGTTAAGGATTTAAGGATTTCATTTTCATCAAAAGGGGTGCTTGCAAGGGTTGAAAAAGTAGGCTCATTTTATAAGTAAAAAATTTATTTTTGTCTACAAACAATGCACTCAATGCAATGTTTCAAATCGTTAAAAATATTTTTTAATTTATTTTTGACAAAGGAGGTGGTTGTGAAGGTTGAAATGTTGAAATTATAATAAAAAGTTATTTTATATGCAAAAAATTAATTTTCGTTAAATAAAATGCACTCAAGAAATCGATAGAAATCAAGATATATGCAAAATATTAATTTTCGTTAAATAAAATGCACTCAAGAAATCGATAGAAATCAAGATAGAATCAAGAAACCGATAAAAATATTTTTTAATTCATTTTGTCATAAAGGTGGTTGTAAGGGTTGAAAATTTCCAATATATAAAATATTATTGTATAGCTAGGGTATTAAGTTTTATTTGTATTTAAATACATAATTAAAATGTCTCAAGCTGCTACGAATTTTTTTTTTATATTATTTTTATAAAAAGTATAAGCTTTCAAGGGTTTTTAAAGGGTTTTAAGGGTTGAAAATTGTGAATAATTAATTTTCATATTAGAGAACACATTACAATATTTACCTTATGCGAATAAACAAGATTTAAGTGCATAACATAATTATCCGTGTTTTCCCAGTTTCTTCAATAAGGGGTAGTTTTCACCCCTTAAAAACAAAAAGCGCACCTAGAGCGTATATAACTTTTGAAGTGGAGGGTAAGATAAGCTTAATTTAAAATTTTCAAAGAAATCTATGCAGTTATAAAAAAATCGGAGGTATTACCATATTTTAAGCCTCAGTAACTGGAGTATCTTCCAAAATTATTTTTATGTGTTTCAAATGATTCTGTTTATTTTGTGAAAAAATCAATAAATCATCGATGTAATGGATTATGAAATGCTCATATCGGTTCAGAATGGTATGTAGAGCTCTTACAAGTGCTGCACAAGCACTTTGCAGTCCAAATAGCACTACCTTAAAACAACAACAACACTAACCATACCATCGATTGAGAATGCCCTGTCGTTTCTACATCTTTGGGCTAAAAGTATCAACCAAAAACTATGCTTTAAATCAATTTTGAAAAATATGTGCGAACCCGTAATTCTTTCAAATGTTTAAAGGTGACTCATATTGTAATACAGTGTGTTGCTTGATATTTCTGGCATTTAAACGTTTTGTTTACTTTTAGTTTTATATAACTGTATAACCTGTCAAATTCAGACAAAATATTAAATTAATTATAAAATATAAATATCATTTGGTAGTAAATTTAATTATATAAACTAAATAAGACGTTTAAAAATAAAAATTCTATCTAAGTATATGAAATTATTTTAAAACGAGAAGTGATATAAAAAGTTAAACAGATGATTAAGTATTATTATTTATTTATTATTATTTAAATTTTGACAATCGTTTCAAATCAAATCTTTTATTGGCAGATATTCTTTTAATTTTTTACTTCTCATTTAATGTCCGTATTTTGTTAGTCATTCAACATGCAGTTTTTAATTTAAACCAGCTTAGAATAAATATATGATGACTAGAAACGAATTTATCGAAAGTAGTGAATCGATGTGAAGAACCGCAAGAATCGCTATTTCGTGACGCTACCCATGACGACTCCTCGTGGTGCTAGTTCCGTGACGCTCACCTCATAATTTTACTATAGAGAAAAAAGTAAAATACAACGCCATTGTAGAAGCTTCGATTCAAAAAATTATTAAAATCATGGCAGTTATTTAGCACAAAGAGTGTAATATTAAGTAGTAAAAGAGTCTGTAAAACAAAATTAAAAAATAAATTCGCTCTAAAAAGAGGGACAATCTATACATAATACAATAAAAACTAACTAACCGAAACATGTCTAATAGGGAATTCTACGTATGACGGAAATTTTAGTGATTACCTACATATTGTAATGTAAAAAATCGATCCTGAACAATGCGAAATAAAAATTCGAGTATAACGTAAATACATAAAGGGGGCAAAAAATTGAATTAATTAAATTAATTATAGTTAAGCATTATTTGACAAATACAACAAAACAACTATGTTAAATCAACTTATAAATAATAATAGATCATAGATTCAATAAATAAGAAAATTTGAAATGTTTAAATAAAAAAGTTTAGATGTTCAACTGTTTATTTTATATTTTTCTTTATAATTATGCCACAATTTTTCTCCTGGTGGAGATCGGTTTAGAAACAAAAATACTATACTAAATACTCTTGAAATAATACTTACAGCAAATAACAGTAATCCAACAGCCTGGAATACAAGTGGAGGAGGTGTAAATAACGGATGATTAATATGGTAGGCTACATACAGGCAAAATCCCCAATAATATCCACAATTTTTGAATAGATTTCTAATTGGCATAGTTCCATGTGAAAAACGATGAACAAATAATGTTTCTAGGATTCTTTTTAGGTAATGAATGGACCAACAGCCTAGAGCTATCCTAAAAAATAAATAAAAGTTTCTCAGTGATGTATTTTTATCGGTTTAGTTGCTCAAAACTGTAAGTTGTGAACACCCAAGAGAAAACTGGCTGATGGCAAAACAGGTGGTAGATCAGGACAAAATCAAATGGGTAATAAACTTATTTGACATATAAATCACGCAGATTCGACAGGGTTTACCCTTTCGCCACTATCGGGACATATATGTCCCAACGGATACTTCAAAATAACTGCTGGACTATATTCTCCCAAAAATACGTAAAAGTTGATGTATTCAGTTTTAGTGTTTCTAAGTCTTTGTGGAGGTAGGCAATACAAAATGCAACGTCTATTGTGATTTATTTTCAGTTATGGCGGCATAAATAGTACACGTGTTATATTTCTGAAGTATAAAAGTAAAATTATTGTAGAAATCAAACTGCTTACACTTTGAAAAGTCAATTCTATATATACTAGTGGATTTAACAGTTACAGATAAGTGTTACTAAAGATAAAAACATTTGGTTCTTTGTTGTAAATGTAAGTTTTTTTGCATAAAAATGTGTGTGGGACATATACGTCCCAATAGTAATATTAAAAGGGATTATTTGTCCCAATCGTAGGAAAATATATTTAAATGATTTCTACATTTTTGCTGTTATTACGTGTTTTGTTGATTTGTTCTTTTTTAGGATGAGCCGCAAAGCGTTGAAAGAAAAAGAATTAGCGGAAATAGCTGAGCATTTGAGTGATATCTATATGTCCTCTGAATCTCTGAAGTAATTGAAGAATTTTGTTTCGTCTTTTTTCAATTCTTCGTAAAGTGTAGGGAAAGCCCCATACTTTTCTCTTTCTAACAAAATAGGATGTATCCATATTTTTCTTTTGCGCTTCTCCAGTTTTTTTCTGCATTTTTTTATACAAAATACGTTATAGTGTATTTTTATGTATGAGAGAGTAATAAAACAATAAATTATGTATGCAAATCCCTAAACTGTTGATACGGGTGACTCAATGAAAAACAGATATTTGTCAACAAGTTTACAGAAGTATATAGGAAAACAATTTTAAATTGAGTATGACCACCAGGTATAAAGGTTGGAGCAGAATAGAATACAATAGTTGTGAGGGTTACTAATCCCTAAATAAGGTTGCCAGTGTCGGAGTGATGGAGGTTAACAGGTACTAATGAATTTGCAAGAAAAGATGTTTATTTTATTGGTTATATATAACCAATAAAAGTTTAATAAGTACCTACCTATTTGCAAAATAAAGTTTAATTCTTTAGATAAAATAAAACGTTTTATTTTATCTGAAATGAGTGCATTCCACGAAGTAAGGGTTTCAACAATCAAACATTTAATTCTTTAATTCCAGGAATCTACGACAGTAATTGACTAGATAATTACCTTCTAAACTCATTCCACAGAAAATGTGATAGTGGGTTTTTCCATTTTGTAGGAAGGTCCAAGTGGCGTATTCAAAATTCTTAACAGTTCACTAAAAGTAGGTACTTCAGTTGCAAGGTGCAGTTTATTGTGTATACTAGTGTTATGGAAAATTTGGAAGTGCCGTGTAAACGCCGAAAAATTGGTCCTTTAACAGTTAATGAAAAAACATTAATATTTAATTGTTTTAAATCATTTACAGACAAACGTTTATGTGACAGTGTTGATGAGACCGTTGAGTTAGTTAGCAGTACACTTGGTGTTGGGAAATCTACGATTTACAGAGTTATTAAAGAAGAGAAATGTAGTAGTTTTCAAATGCCACGTAATGCTCCAGGGAAACCAAAATTTCAAATAGAATATCATTTTAAAGAGACTTCGACGGAAAGTGCATGAATTCTTCTTTAGACAAGAATTTCCAACATTGGATAAAGTTCTTGTCTCAGTTCGAGATGATAAGGATTACCCAGAAATGAGTCGAAGTACGTTATGGAAACTCTTAAAAGAAATAGGCTTCCGCTGGAAAAAGAATCCCAGAAAGTCTATTTTATTAGAAAGAAGCGATATTGTCATATGGAGAAGACATTTTCTAAGAACCATAAAGGAACGGAGAAACCAAAAAAGAAAAATATTTTATCTTGATGAAACATGGATCAACGAAGGTCATACACCAAATAAATTTTGGCAGGATGAAACTGTTACAAGTCAAAGGCACGCTTTTGTAAATAACTTATCTACTAGTTTAAACCCACCATCAGGAAAGGGACGCATGCTGATAATAGTACACATTGGCAGTTCAGACGGTTTTGTTGAAGGTGGTTTATTAACTTTTGAATCAAGTCGTACCGGTGACTACCATGAAGACATGAACGCTGATATCTTTCAAGAATGGTTCGAACAAATGATAGATCTTCTTCCTAAGAACTGTGTAATAGTAATGCCCAGACTTATAGAAGGACTGCCCAAAACCAAGTGGTTAAAAAAATACTTGCAGAATTGGCTGAGTTCAAAAATATTACGTACCATCCCGGATCTATAAGAAAGGAACTCTATTCGTTGTGTGCCCTTCATAAAGAAAAATTTAAAAAATACGAAATTGATGAAATTGCCAAAAATCGTGGAATGACAGTACTTAGATCCCCACCCTATCATTGTGAATTAAACCCGATTGAACTGGTATGGGCACAGATAAAGAGTGAAGTTTCAAGAAAAAATACCACTTTTAAAATTCATGATGTTAAACAGTTGTTTTTGGAGGCCGTAAATAATGTAAAACCTGAAAACTGGGAAAAGGCAGTAAATCACACTATTAAAGAAGAGGAAAAAATGTGGAAGCTGGACAATATTACTGATAAAATGATCGAGCCAGTTATTATAAATCTTGGTTCTGAAAGTTCATCTTCTGAATCTGATTTGGATTTGTAACAAGTAGCTGTAAGTTTTATATTAATACTTTTATTCATCTATTTAACATACCTTAGACGGTTTTAAAAACTCTTTTTCTCTTTTGTAATTTTTAAAAATTAAAAAAAATGTGAATTTTTTAAAACCCTTTTTAATGTAGGCCAGTCAGTTCTAATATAGTGTGTGATAAAAGAGGTCACTTTTGTTTACATACACATAACACTTTATAACACTGAAATAATTCATTTATTTTTTACAATTATTCAAAGTAATTTTTCAATTAATCTTGAGCACGCCCATGGAGTGGTCGGATGTACCAGTTAAAATTATGCTAATTACTCTCTCGTTCATAAAAATAAACTATAGTATAATTTTTTGCTTTGACAACAACATGATATAACATTTATTGCGTGTACTTTTTACTTTAAAACTGACGACATTTCGGGGATTAAATACTGTCAACGGACTAATATCCCTTGAAATTTATGAACCGTCGACAAGGGTACCCGTTTAGCATCGGCCCGTTACCCGTTGAAAAAAAAAACGTTCGTTAACAAGAGCCCTAATGGTGTGGTATGCAAATGTCCCTTTTTAGCTGCAATTAAGTTCTCGGAGCGCGGATTTAAAAAATGAATGTAATTTATTCATTGTAAATTTAAGTGTCAAAGGGAATTAACACGTTGAACGCCGTAATATATATAATATAAATGATTTTCGGGGCCGAGGATATTTTTTACTCAAAACATATTTATGTCATGAACATTCCATACATAAACATGTTCCATCAATATTTTTTTCCAAATCGTACTTTGAACCGCGAAGCAAGTAAGCACCACGCGACCCCCAGTACCAAATCTCTCTTCGAGGCTGACAACCCGTGATTCACGCCGACAGGAATCAACTTATCGGTCGTAATCGATTATCATAGCATTATGATAATCGACTACAAGCATTCAATCTATTTCGCGTCGTTGTCTAAATAAGTGCAATAAATTGTGCATCTAAAATGGGCGAATACGAAAAAAAAAAAAACAAATTCAACTTGAAAAAATGATGAACGAAATTTTGTCAGTTGAAGAAACATTTTAATTAGACTTGTTCAAATGCCAAAACTATCTTCTTATTGGTCTTCTAATGTGCTTATACTTCAATGAAATATAACAAGTCATGTCAAGAAACAGATTTGAACTTCTTCTGAATAATTGGCATTTTACTGATCACGAACATTCACATATTTCCACAAGACTGTATAAGATAAAACCGCTCATAGGTCACATCCGACAAAAATTTCAAAACTCTATAACGCCGTCTGGTAACATTTGTATAGACAAAACTTTAGTACCATTTCGTGGTCGGCTATCTTTCCTACAATTTATCAAAAATAAACAGCATAAGTTTGGTGTAAAATTCTTTAAATTGTGTATAGAAGATGGGTACACTTATGACTTTAAAATCTATTGTGGTACCGAGAAAACTAATAGTGTACTTAGTGTTCCCAGTTCGGTTGTTGTAGAACTATGTGACGGGCTTCTTGACTGCGGTCGTACTGTATTTGTTAACAACTATTACACGAGTATTGAACTAGCACATAAATTATTAGAACGACAAACACACCTTGTTGGAACCTTGCCAAGAAATCGAAAGGGAAATCCAAAAAATATTATTGAAAAAAAAGCTAAAAAAGGGGCAGGTAATTGGTGCAGAAAGTAAATAAGGAGATGTAGTAATAAAGTGGTGTGATAAACGCGAGGTTCTGATGTTGTCAACAAAACATACGGAAATAATGCTACTAGTAAAATCAAGAAATGGAACTCTGAAAGAAAAGCCAAAAGTTGTCATCGACTAAAATAAAAACAAAAGTTTTATAGATTTATCCGACCAAATAAAGGCTAAAATGTGACAAATTCTATTGTGTAAGTTATTATTATTATTATTATTATTATTATAATATAAGCGAGGGCAGAGGAACTAAGTCCCTATTATGCCCAAAAACAAAGAAATTTCATTTATCACCTACTAGTAAATAACAAAAATTACAACTAAAAGAAATAAAATTACAATTTTTGGTTTAAAGGAACAACAATATTTTAACTATAATATAAAACTGTCGAGTCTGTTTTTGAACGAGTTGGTAGAGGAAGCGGAGACAATGTTATCGTTGAGGTTAT